AGAGTTTGTGGACAAAAATAAAGTTTATTTTCAAGACCATTTACTAATTGTTCTAATAAAGCTAACCTTATGAGACCACCAAAAGACATATTTTCGTTTTAAATTAAAAACTAATTATAGCTAAAACACAAAATTACGCTCTGATTAAACACAATTGTTTAATTTATTCCTCCGAGCTTCGAGGGACGCTTCCTTAACTTCGAGGGACGCACGTTAAGTTCGATAGCGGCATGTGATTTGATGCTGTTATTCTGAAGCGCTATTTCTTCATATAACGTTCGTCGATAGCGTGCGCCTGTTATAATATAAAGGTTTTACTGATACAACACACCAGTTGGAGCCACATAACGTGTTTGACGGATAACACGCACGTTAAAGTTAACGTGAGTGATACAGCACAGGGCTGATTAACAGTTGAAAATCGAATTTCACCTTTGTTATTAATCATTATTTTGCAGAGATCCCACGTTTGATTGGTAGCCTATTGGAATACTTAAGCATTCGAATTCGGAATACTTAAGCATGCGCTTTCTACCTGTCTGTGACTTAGCCTTAGGTGAGGTGCGCCGGAATCCACACCAAGTTTACCTGTTTCTGATATGCCACTTCTTTATTCAGGGCATACCAACACTCCTGGATCGGTCTACTGCCCATACTAACACTAAGAAGTGCATTTAGGGCCGCATTATTTTCAATACTTGTTCCTCTGCGCCTGGAACCCGAACATCGATTGTCGTCCACTATCTTCTTGGAACCACTCTACTCGCCCTTTGTTGGCGTGAGTTCTTCGTAATTTGAAGAAAAGAGGGCAATTGTTCTTTTTGAATGCTTAAGTATTCCACTATGCTACCAATTAAACAGTAAACACTTTCAAAATATTGCTTAATAACAAAGTTGAAATTCGATTTTCAACTGCTAATATCTTCTAGAAATTATCGAAAAAAAATTCAAAATTTTTGCCGTTCCTTCCAGGTTATTCTCTATTAACGTTCCCTATTAACCTTTAAAAGGAATGACGCCAATTTTATCATCCTGTATATTTTGAACAAGGTCGGAGAGACGCAAAAACCCTGACTAAGCCCTTTCGGTACTTCAAACCCTAGTCATATTCTATTTCCAATCTTAATCTTTGTTTTGCCGCCTCCATTAAGTTCGTTCATTCCTCTTATTAAGGTATGGTTGATTTTCGTTTTTCAAGGACCCTCAATAGTTTAAATATAGAGATGCTGTTGTAGGATTTTTCAAGGTCTATAAAGGGTAGATGGATTTCTCTATTGGTCAAAATTTTCTTCTCGATGGTCTGCTTGATGACAAATATACTATCTATGCATAATCTTCCGGCGCGAAATCCACTTTGTTCTTTGGCTTCCATTAGGCATCTGATAATGCACAATTTATTTTAATACATTTTATTTTTTCATTTTGTAATTGACAAATGAACATTTTTGAAATAAAATATTCAAGGTGTACCATCAAAACTCGGTCTTTTTACAATCAAAATGTGTTGGTTTAACGCATTTGCCCTTGTTAAGGCGTGAACACAATGCGCACTTTTTCACGATCATTTGTCTCTTATATTTATGCTGCATGGTGGCAAGTCCAATAATGCGGTATGTAAACACGATCTACTATCACCAGCCTAGATCCCGACACCGATGAAAGTAATTTTCAGTTACGCAACGATGTTATTCTATTAAAAACAGTTTTTTTCCCATGTTTGATAATGATATTTGAATGTACGTAATATTTCAATCCTGATCAAGCGAGTATTTGCATTGGCTACGTTAGTTTCTTTTGATGGTAAAAATTTTCGAAATATTCACTAATATTAACTAATCTTATAAACTCAGACAGATTCAACATCAGGCTTCTACCAACTCCTTCTTTAGAACCTTAAGGGCAAGTTGGGAGGCAATTTTCCACGATTAGGCTAACATCTTCGAAATCCAAAAACTCTTCTCATACAATCACTGAGCAGACCGCCAGATTTTTCTGCTAATTAAATGGGGGAATTTGATAATGGTAAAATGAACAAGTTTTTGCTGGAGAAAGAATTTCGTAAAGGGTGAACAAAATATGAAAGTATAAAAGGGGATTTAGCAGTTGGGACTTCAGTGCACGTTGGGAATTCTTCGGTGAACAATGAAGGCTTTTGTAAGTAGTCCAGTGGCGTCTTCAGCACTCTCGTTTCATAGTTGAAGTTGTTTTCTTTATCTCGTATCTAGTCATTAGCTTCTGGTTGAACACTTTTTCTTCTAGATTGTGCTTTGTCTAGCTGTTGTAGTCCTCGGCTATACCGATGCTGATGATGTCCATCAGAGATCGAAACGGGGATTTTACGATATAAAAACCATCAGTGTTCCCAAGCCCTATCCCGTATACATTCCCAAGCCGTACCCGGTGATCAAGCATGTGCCTATTAAAGTCCAAGTAAGTACCCGTTCATCCTGTGTATGCCACCCTACATCTGGCTGGTATTTTCTAGGTTCCAGTAAAAATAACTGTACCCAAACCCTACCCGGTTCACATACCTAAACCGTATCCAGTCCAAATCACCAAAACCGTCCAAGTACCAGTAACCAGGACCGTGCAGGTACCAGTCAAAGTTCCCATTCATGTACCTTACGCTGTCAAGGTACCCTACGCGGTACCCAAACCGTACCCAATTGAAATCGAAAACCTGAAAGTGGTTAAAGAGTCCTATCCGGTGGTAATCGAGAACAAAGTACCATATCCGGTAATTATTGATAGGGGACACCATGGTTATGGTGGTGATGTCCATGGATGGTAGGTCTACCGGAGCTCTTTGGAACTAGCTTTTGTATATTTTTATTTGTTAACTAGTTTGTAACGATGTATTGTAAATCTTGTTTGAATACCTCAAATTGTTTTCTACTTCTCATTAAATAGTATCGTGTACTTTACTGTATGCTCTGTTTATTTATTCTTGCATAGAGCGGTTTTCGAATATTGCTATTAACAATAAATTCAACTTGTTTTCTATAATCGTTCACAGTTTCGAATTAATATATGAGTCTATAATAAGATCCTATAGTTTTATGATGACCAAATGGATGTAAGAAAAAAGGTTCTAAATCTACTGGTAGTTGTGGTTAAGAGCTTAAAATTATCCATAATGTTTTTAAATTCCGCTTTTACAAGCAAGTTTGTTTTTCGTCTTCAGAATTTATTTGAAGAAAGGAAACTGATGTGAAATATTCTGCGATTGGCACCCCACATAATATCTAAACAATCGAAATAACCCATTATTTAACACTAAGCAATATTTCATATATGGTTGTAGAACACTTACTTATTTACTCCCTAGCGCTAAATCCCTTGGTGGGGCTGGGTTGGGGTCATCAATTTTCCTCCGTCTGTCTCGGTCTTTCATAACTGATAAACCATTCTCGATGCCCATTTTCCGGAGGTCCGACGCTATATTACCACGCCACCTTAATCTCGGTCTTCCAAGTGGTCGTCTTGCTTCTGGTGCTCTGTCCCAGTTAAGCGGACCATTTTATCCTCTGGGCATCTTCGTATGTGCCCTGCTCATCTTGATCTTTGCGCCTTTGTGAGATTGATCAGTTCTGACTGGTTGTATAGTTATTTCAGTTCTGCATTTGTTTCGATTCGGTAGATCCACGTCTCTTGGTTTTTGGTGGGTCCGAAAATTTTCCTAATCACTTTTCTCTCGAATCCTCGAATGACTTCCTTTTTCCTCAATAAGAGTCCAGCCTTCGTAGGCGTACATCACCACGGGTCTTATACTGGTCTCGTACCTTTTGATTTTCGTTCTCCTTGTCACGTATTTGGACTCTAGTATATCTTTTAGGGCGTATAAGCACCTGTTCGCTGACTTTAGGGGTTCTGTGATTTCTTCACTCATGTCGTTATCGGATGTCATTGTGGACTCTAAGTATTTAAATTGTTTTACATTTTCAAAGTTGTGTTTGTTCATGGTCACATTTTGTCATATCCTAGATCTGCCTGGTCTTGAGACGTGCATGTCCTCGTTGACTTTAATGCCGCTTCTTTTTCGATTTTGTGCTTTTGCACGCTTATGACGCTTATGCTCACCGCGTCCACATCGTCGACATATGTAAGTTGGATCCACTGGCCTCAAATAGCTGAATTTCGGTTTCGGATGCTCTTATTACTTTCTCCAATGCGATATTAAAAAGCGTGGGTGATAGTGCGTCTCTATGTTTAAGACCTGTGTTCACCTGAAACACGTCTGAGAGGACATCACCAATCTTTACTCTGCACCTAGAACCGTCAGCACAAGCTCTGGTCACTCTCTACAAACTCAGCCATTGTATCGTATCGTCGTATGTCTGCTGGAAATCTATAAATAACTGGTGGAGGTTCTGATTGCATTCTCAGCTCTTCTCTTGCGGTTGCCCACTGGTAATCAACTAGTCTGTTGTTGACCTATTTGCTAGGAAACAGCACTAGAAGTCTCGGATTTTTTCGGTGACGGAGGTCTTAGAACAATTACGTTCGATAGGACTTTATAGGCTGCATTGATTAGTGCTATCCCTCTGTAATTTTTGCAGACCGTTCTATCGCCTTTTTTGGGAATCGGTATGATGATACTATCCTTTGTCATCAGCGATAGCTTCTTTTTCCCATATGGTTTTAGTGAGATGTTGTCGATATGTTATGATAGTCATCATTATTATCTTGCAGTCGTTATCTACTGCTGGAGATAGGCCTGCTCTAAATTTCTCCATGTCTCTCGGTTCTGTACTGTCATTATCCAATTCCCGGGCATTACCTTTACGTCGTCACTCCAACGCGTCGGTGGTCTGTCTCTGTTATGTTTGTCTTCTCGTGGTCGCCATTCCAATATTGTTTTAGGGCTTCAGATGGGCTTATCCAAGTCCATCTTACGTGCTTTTTTTTCTGGAAGAAGATCTTCATGGAATCAGAAACTTATAGTTTCTCGGTAATATCATAGGTTTCTCAAAAACAGCAAAGATTGCTGTTTTCTAAAATGAAAATTTGTAGGCCATGTAGCACGACTCAATGATGATAGGTGGACCAAAATACTATTAGAATGGAGACCCCGGCAAGATAGAAGAAGTAAAAGCAGACGCCGATATACGGAGAATAGACCACAACTAGATTTAGCAGTGGACAGCTCTTCGCTTTCCTTGGATTCTGCCCTGCATAATAAGCTGCAGCAGTCGATGCTTCTCCCCTCTCATTACGTGGCCCAATTATTCAAGTTTTCATCGTTTGATGGTTAGTACCACTTCCGCTTCCGTATCCATCCTCCATTCCATGACTTCATCGTTTGTCACTTGATCCATCCGCGAGACTCCAAGCAGCCTCCGATAAACCCACATTTCAAAGACCTCTATTTTCTTTTTATTGGCCTTGTGAAGGGCCTACGTCTCCACCTCATAGAGGAGCACAGAGAAAACATAGCATCTAACTAGTCGGATTTTCAGTTTTAAATTGTCGTGACTGCTGAGGATGCCCTTCATGTTGATGAAAACAGCTCGTGCTATTTGAACTCGTATTCTGATTTCCTGAGTTAATTGTTGTTATTGACGCTCATTCCCAGTAGTATATTTGTGTACTCGCTCTATTGGGCTACCATGTTTGTAGATGCCACCGCTCACCGTCCGTTCATTCGAGATAATCATAAATTGAGTTTTCTTAACACTGAGTGTGAGGCCCCTTCCCTCACTTGCTGTAACTACCTTGGTTAAAATTTGTTAAAGGTGTTTTAGAGTTTAGGACCGTATCGTCGGCATACCTAGTATTATTTATAGGCCTTCCTTATAGTTTTAGGTTTATTTTTAAACCTATCTCTTCTTCATGTAGCGCTTTTTTCATAATCTGTACCGTGTTAAATAGCAATGGCGACATCACGCAACCTTGCCTAACCCAACTTTTAATTTGGACTTCGTCGGTTATATCAGTTTCAACTCGAACAACTGCTCTCCGGTCATAGTAAAGATTCGTTATTATTCTTATGTCTCGGGTACAAGTTATTTTTCTAGTAATATTTAGACACGTTGGTCGTGTCTGACTTTAACGAATACTTTACTAGAGTCTATAAAACATGCGTATATATCCTGGTGTGCATCTAAACTTCTTTGAACTAAGATATTAAAAGCAAAAAGTGTTTCTCGAGTTCCGCACCCACTTCAAAACCCAAATTGTGTTGCTCCGATCTCTTCGTCCACTCTTTGTATATTTTATTATGGGTAATTTGAAGAAAATCTTCAGTGGGTGGCTCATAAGACTGATTGTGCGATAGTCGCTGCGATAGCAGCTTTTTCGGTAGGGTGAAAAACGCCCACATCAACCAGTCATGAGGTTTATGCTGGGTTCGTAGATTTTGCTGAATAAGTTCACTAGTGTACGTATCTGATCTGCCTGTATCAGATTCAGTAGCTCTGACGGTATCACGTCTGGTCCCGGTGATTTCTGGTTCTTCGACGATTTCATAGCATGAATCACTTCTTCATTAGTTATTCTTGGTCCTGTCTCCTCTTGTAATATTTAAAAGCCTGGTGTATGTCACTCGTCTTCAAATAGGTCTTCAACATATTGTTGCCATATTTCATATGGAATATTTCACAATATTCCCCTGCTGATCTTTAAGTATGGACGCTTGTTTTTCTGTTCTTGCAACCGCTAAGTTCTTTCACTCTCTCATATTAAATGAGTTATATTTAATTGCAAGTTCTTCGATTTCCGTACATTGGTCCTTCAGCCAATGAGCCATTGTTGTTTTGCTTTGCGGATCCTGTTCTTACTTACAATATTGACTATTGATCTTTTTCATTGTCTTTAAATGTTCTTCTCGTATTCATGAGGGTTAATATTTCATCAGTCATTCAATCTTTTTCTATCTTTGGCTTCCCCTTTTAAATCGTTTTTTGCCGGTTTTAACAGAGCTTTCTAAGGTTCGTTCCAATGTCCATCATTATCGAGTGCTGTTTCATCGATTTCTCTTAGGGTTTCTTGAATATCCCTTTCTACTTTCAGTTTCGTAGTTTGATTTTTGACGCAATTAATGTATGTTTCTTTTTTATGATCACCTGTTTCAATTATTTACAGCCTTGCTCGGAATTAGGCGAAAAAATGGTTGTTTATACTTATATACTCTATTTGATTTTTTATTGTTTTCTTCTTCTTGTTTTCTGAATATCCCCGTGTCTTCCAGGTGTACAGGCGTCCTTTAGGCAGATTATAGAAAGTATTTTTAATCATAAGTTTATTTTCTTGGCAAAACCGTAGTAACCGGTCGCCTCTTTCATTTCTTATGCCGAGACCGTGTTCTCCAACCAATTCTCCACATTTTTTTTGCCGATCTTCGCGTTTAAATCTCCCATGACTATAGTGATATCGTAATCGCTTCGTAAAACTCTTCTATGTTCTGTCTGCTTTTGTCAGCAGTATGTGCGTATACAGGATGATTCAAAATTGGCATAATTCATTTTAAAGGGTTATAGGTGCTGACTTGAAAAGTGGAAAAAAAATTGGAAATTTTTTTCCAATAATTTCTAGAAGATATTAACAGTGGAAAATCGAATTTTAACTTTGTTATTAAGCATTATTTTCAAAGTGTTCCATATTTAATTGGTAGCATATTGAAATATTTAAGCATTCAAAAACAAAAATTACTATCTTTGCTTTAAATTACGAAAAATGTTTATATCAAAAAGTTCTCTTCCACAATTTTTTGATGGGAAGTAAAAGCGGCAATGATGTTTTTTGTCATCAAATGTCAGATGTTCGGGTTACAGACACAGAGGAACAAGTATTGGACATAATTGCAGAAGAGCCTTTCAGCGGTACTCCGAACATTGCACAACAACAGACACTTCACAACTACATTCCTACCACCTATGTAAGATCACATTAAACCAATGGATTACTGAACACCGGGATAAATTGAGCAGGAGTTAATTAACCGAATACGAGAAGCTGTTCGAGAAGAGTGCATAATAAGGTGATTACTCAGGCACTTGTTTGGAGTTACGGACTCAAATGTATGTTTTTATAATTTGTAAACAAATTAGTATTTCAAGGTTATCAGTAAAGCGCGGAATATATGCAGTTAAATTCAATCAAAATATGCGCATATATATGCATAATTTTTATTCCAAATATGCAATTATATGCA